GGCGCCGAATGGGAACACAGGGGCCGGGCTGGGCTACGTGCGCCCGCGCTGCGGGTGCGGCTGCCTCGGTCGTCCCCCCCCCCCAGGCTCATCGGTCCACATTCCCCCCCCTACCCCAGTAACAAAGGCCTCACGCCGGGTCGCGTGGGGTCCGCAATGGTCTCCGTGGGGTGGGGGTTGCACTGCCACCCGTGGTGATGGTGGTGATGGTGATGGTGAGAGATACCGTGGTGCCGGAGAAAGATGGGTCCTGTCCCTGCCCCAGGGCGGGGAAGGGCGGCTGGGCCCCTGTCTGGGGACGCGGGAAGGGCTCCCCAGTGATGGCCCGTGCGGGGCTGCCTCCTCGGGACTCACCGCTGCTAGTACCCCGAGGCATGGCATGCACTGCTTTCACCTGGTAACAAAGGGGAGACTCCCCCAGTACCCCGGCTGCAGCCTGTGCCCCAATCCCAGCCCGCCTGCACCCCAGCATGGCAGTGGGGGCAAAGGGGCTACAGAGATGCTGGAGGCTCCCCGAGGAAGCAGCAGCTCCCCAGGCACTCCACATTCCCCCAGCACTGGGAGGCAGCAGGTGCTGGCTGAGAGCTCTCTCGCCCCCCAGGCTGGGGACCCCAGGCCATCTTTGGGTTCCTTAGGTGAGTTTAGCCATGCGTGATGTGAACGGGTCTGACGGGCGGCCTCTTCCCCGGCAGGCCACGCGCCGCAGCGTGAACACCATCTTAATGAGGCACTGCGGCAGTGCTGCTGCTACCCGCGGGACGTGACGGCGGAAATCCTGCCCGTCTGCCGCCTCGGCCCGCCTTTGCTGGCTGCTTGTGAGAAGGAAGCGCTCCCTGAATGGCTGCCGCTGCTGCCCACCTTGCAGCCCCCCCCCCTTCCCCGTGCTGGGGTCTCTGACTGAGCCGTGCCAGTGGCTTGGTGCGGGGCTTGTGCAGCCCAGCTGCAATGGGATGAACGTACATTAGGCACAAGGCTCAGAGCACGGCCAGAATCCTCCATCCCATGGGGAGAGGGTCCCGGAGGAAGGTGGGGTGCAGAGCTGGGCTGGCAGGGTATGGTGGAAGCAGACCTATCCCTCTGGCTGCTCGGCTCAGCAGGGCTTTGAAGATGAGGAGGGAAGAGCGGAGTGGGGGAGCCATGCAGGTAGCAGGGTGGGGGGCAAGAGGGGTCACACAGCTCGAACGTAACCCAACTCTTCTTATATACCACGGCTATTCCCGGTGCTGCTGAGGGGCTCGTGGCTAAGTTTAGACTCGGCTGATGTTACAACCTTTTCGTAAAGGCCAGGGGATGATGACTCGTGTGGTACACCGGTGGGGCAGGAGGGGTGCGAGTGCACGCCGGGGTTTGTGGTGCCCCAGCCGCAGTGCACTTGAGGAGCTGGCATGGCTCTCGGGGACAGCTTCTGCACAAACAGGAGGCCCCAGTGTTTGCTCGGCAAACACCGCAGCCCCGGGGGGCAGAGTGCGGCTGGGATGAGCCAACGCAGCCCTCCCTGCCCGAGCACACGGTCGATAGCTCGCCCCCCCCATCCCCGCTCTGTCGTGGCCCCGGCAGCACCGCACTGCAACCGCGCGTGCTGCCCGGCCCACCCGGAATGGCGGCGTGCACCCAACATGGCCCCGCGCGTGGGGGCTCTGCCGCCGCTGCCGGCCCTGCACCCGCACACGGGCAGCCACGGCCTCAGGCAGCGGTGCTGCTGATGAGCACGGAAGCAGAGGTTAATACAGCTCTGTTTAATGAGCAAGAGTCCTCGAGCACGGAGAGGAGGGAGGAAGCAGCCGTGGAACCGGGCAGCTTCTCCTGATGCCGCTGCCGCTCTCCTTCAGGGCAGGTGTTACAGGGCTGCGCCGGTTCCCATGACGGCGCTGCCTCTGGGCGCCTGTGTCTCCTCGGGCTGTGGAGAAGCAGGGCTGGTGAGCCGCCCAGCGGCGTGCTGCCTGCCTGCTCCCGCTCCCGGCCCCGGGAGCATGGGGGGTCCGTGTCCCAGCCTTTGCCCCGGCTGCAGGCAGGAGGTGGCCCCACAGCCACCTCTCGCTCCTGTCCTCCCCACCACCCGTGCTCTCAAGTCTCCCCTTACCTCTTCCCTACCCACTTATTCAGTCCCTCACTGCTGGCCCTCTCACCTCAGAGCCGCCTCCAAGGCTAACACCCCAAACCACTGAAGGTCCCAATCCGGTCCAGTTTCAATCCAAAGCAGCCCCTGGGCACGGCCTTCCAGGCCCAATCTCGAGGCAGTGCCCACTTGCGACTGGCGAGCGTCTTGCGCCACAGGGAGGGACGGGCAGCTCTAGCCCCAGATGGGAGGAAGGGGAGCGTGGAGGAGAGCAACTGAGGGCCAAAACTGGACCCCTCCTTCGTGTCCTCTTCAGCCACTGTGGACTCGGGCTCCAGGGGCAGCAACTGGGAAAGGAGCATCTGGGATAAACAGGGAGGAGAGGGGGTGAGAGCAGAGTTGCCTGTGCTCCTGGCAAAAAAAGCCTTGTACCCCCTTGTGCCCCACTGCACGCACCTTTACAGCTTGTGCAGGACACTAAATGGTGTCCGCACACAGGCGCTGTGCCTGTGACGGTGCATCCAGACACAGGGAAGGGCTAGACCAGCAGCTCCTGCTGTCTGGAATGATTCTGCTGTCCAAAAGAGCAGCCAGCCAGCTGCTGTGAGCCTCTGCCTGCGTGCCGATTGTCCTGCTCTTGTGTGTGTCCCCAACACTTGAAAGGTAACAGGCTTTGGTCCTTGCTCCTTCTGCCAGTGCTGAGCACCTCCGTGTGCTCAGGCTGCTATGTGGCATTTCTTTTTATCCGGAGGGCTGGTGTGGAGGACAGACCTGCCCCAAATTCCTGCTGCTAAAGATGGGGGGGGGAGGCAGCAGCAGAGCAGGTGGGAAAGAAGGGGACTCCACATCTTTTGGGAATCCTCTAGGTTATCTGTGCTGGTGGACACCTGCTGACTGTACAACCCCCAGCATTGCTGGCAGCCCCTGGCTGTAGGGAGGCAAGGGTTGGGAGGTGCATTTGGCACAGTGGCAGCATGGCATGGCTGCCCAGGGAAGCAGCCTGCAGTAGCCATTCCACATCTGTCCCTCCTGTGGATGCTGAGCTAAGGCTGAAGATGCCTTTCGTGCGGCTCTTTTCGGCAGCGAGTTAATTGAAGCGGACACTGGCATCCTGAGCGAGGAGTGAAAGCGGTGAGTCATAGCAGGATCTGTCTTGTGATTTTAGCTCACCTCCTAACTACTTCCCTGTAGCTTTCCCAGCGTGACCTGAAGGCAAGGTGTTGGGGCTCAATATTACACTTTGGGTAAGAGGGAGCTGGTTAAATTCAAAAGATGAAAGTATTATTGCTGTAATTGCTGAGGATAAGAGATTTACCCAAAAGAAGCCCTTAGATGGCATCCTGAGGGAGGAAGGGGGCTCTTGGTCTTAATGAGGGGTAGTACTGAGCTTAGGAGTGAAAATCCTGGCCTAACAGTATGTATTTTCCCTCTGAAACCTCAGAATCAGGCACTGAACATGATGAGGGACACGGCTATAATTTCTAGTTGTTGCTGACACAAGGTGGAGTTAAGACAGGATCAGACTATGGCTAAAAGCCTCTGCAGGCAACATGGGGAGTCCCACAGGCAGCCGGCCCCAGACCAGAGAGCGCTAAAAAGCTTTTGTCTGCCCGCTGCCTTGTAATGCTGGTGCCCCTTAAGAGCTGGGTTATAAAGATACAGTCATTCTAGAGCTGAGGCTGTTGGGATGAAGGGGAGGGAACAATGAGAACAGACAGCAGCTTCTGATAGCTGGAATTTGGGACCACCATTCCGTGTTCAAACATGACCTCCCCAAACTGCCCCTCCACTCCTGAAACCTCCCTCAGCTCTCTCCCAGTCCCTCCTACCTGTAGCCTCTGTCCTGATAAGGACACAGTCTGAACGCTGGCAGAGAGCAGAACTAAGAGGAGTAAAAGCGAGCAAGGCCACGAGTGGAACCCCAGCATCTTCTCCTTATCCCAAGGCTTGTGGGAGGTGAGGCAGGACCTTGCAGCATCTGTGTCAGATGCAGTCCCTTGCCCCTCTTTGCCTTTATAGCTTTGGTTCTGGCAGGCGCCTGGCCCCCAGCTCTCTGCTGAACCACCCCCTGGAGCTCCTTAACCTTTCAGCCCTTTTGTCCAGGGTGATATATTTCAGGGTGAGCTCAGCAAGACCCCTTCCTTTAAAGAGAAAAGACACAAAGCTGTTTACTGAGTGTCTGGAAAGACGAATGTGAGTTGAGCTGCTGCTGGCCAGGACCTGGAGGTATCTGTCAGGGTCAGGAACAGGGTGACACTTTGAAACATATCCCAAAGGAGGATATTGAAGGCTGCATTGTATAATGATATTGAACATGCTCTTTCTAGTGAGAACGCTGTTTATGCTATTTCTCTAATCAGCATGAACAACCACTACAATGGTTGGCACATTGCTGACTGCGCAGAGCTGACACAAATTCAGCTCCATGACAATAAAGGCTTTCATTTTTAATACTTTTACCTCGGTGAGCTGGCTGGCCTGGGAATGAAGAGCTCTTGCTGCAGAAGGTGTGCGAGTTCCAGCACCAACTCTATGGGATTTGTAGTGGTGATGGGAGCATGGCTCGAAGTACTAGCGGGCATGTAACTTGCGGGCTGGCTGTCCTGAGTCACCATCTGGAGGGCTGGGCTGAGTTTCCAGAGGAACCAGGACAAGAAAAGAGCTCATTGAGGCTCAGCTTGCACTTTCTCAAGCCCAGGCGCACAATGGAAGCAGGACGGCAAGGAGCAGATTCCTGCCTCCTAAATCTTCTGGCCATTAGTTCCCCCCGCCTTTGTTTACTTCTCCCATTTTACTGTAGTTTCTCACCAGCTGAACAAGGCAATGAGGTCACTGTTTGGAGATCAGGGTGCAGAAGTCAGCCTGGGGGTGAAGACAGAAACTAATCAGGAAGGTTTGTCAGGGGAGCAGAATGGGGGGACTGTACCCCAGAACGGGGTTAGGAGTGGGTGTGCTGGGTGAGTTTAATAACACCTTACGCTTCCCTTTCTTCAGTATTGTTGCACAAAGCAACTGGGACAAAAATTGACAGGCAGTGTTCTGCTGCCTGTTTTTGTGGAAATTATTATATTATTTAAGGGAATAATATAATAATAAAAAAGCCTTTTGCAGAGATAACAAAAATCACAGTTCAGATATTTGCCATCTTTTCTTCCTTCCTTCCTTCCCAGCATCTTGCATTTATAGATGCAGATTTCTTCCCTGCCTAAGGAGCCAGAAAGTTTTAGGAACTGTTTTTCATCCAGTCTATGACAAGTGAGTCTGTGATTTCAGTCTGGAATATCTATGCTGGATGCAGGAGAGACTTCGCATAGGTGGGGGCATCCAAGTATGTTGGCTCCACTTGATACCTGTGACCCTCCTGGTTCCAGAGCAATGCTCCGGTGATCCTGTCTGGTAGTGCCCCGTCACCTGGGACAGCTATCCAGGGCATGCCAACAAATGGAAGTGCTCCCTAGTCCCTGGCTAACAGCCTCCACTGAGACATTTTATGGGGAACAGGATCGCTTTCATACCAGCCTTTTAAACTACAAAGCACAAGCAATGTGCTGCTCAGGTGGGGATTCTGATGGGGTGCCTGTGCACAGGCAGAGCGTGGGATATGTGCACACAACATCCATGTGCTGGATGCGGTAAGGTATGGAGCTTTGTGGTGTGAAATTCTGGAGGGGTGGGAAAGAGAGGAAGGAGGATGGGATACAAGCACATGTTCATCCCACATGCAAGAGGTCTCAGAGGATGTTATTCTGTACTTCCTAGTCACATTTGACCATCCAGAAGCAGCTGAGTCAGTGTGCTAGAGCATTCAATGCTCCCGGCAAGACAGCTGCAGGCCGATCCATCTCCGGTTGAATGCACTGGTTTTCCAGAAGTCAGCTCTTTCCTGAGCAAAAAGGTAAGTACAAAAGCAACACCACTTTATACCTACAAAATATAGCAGTGGTTTGATCTCGCATCCCTTGAATGTGGTGGCCCCCATACTGCAAGAAGAATGCCAAATATGTGTTTACAACTGCTCCAAATTCCAACCCACTTGCACGCAGACTGAGCCTTCCAGGGATGGACAGGCTCTGAGCTCTCTAGTGGCAGGTCCCTTCCTTTAGTCCAGCAAAGGCTGGGGCTAGCAAGAGGGAAGACATCATCACTCTTCCATACCAAGCAAGAAACTTCAGAGACTGTAGAAAATGTGCAAATTTTCTTGCAAATCCATCAAAGCCTGAATAAATTGCAGGTGCTCAGTGACTCAGGTGCCATGAAGTTGCAATTGCTCTGTGTCCCAGATCCTTGCTGGGACTGCAGTTGAACTGAATAGTTGCTTTGACATGTGCTGCCCATGGCTGTGAAGTGAAAAGGCTTTGGCAGACAACGAGTCCCCGACTGCCCCAGTTTTCACAGACTCAAATAGGTTATTGTCCTTCTTTCTTCTCTGGTGCTAACAAGTTTCTTCTATAAAAACCCTTCCCCCTCTGATGCTGAGGCACTGCTTCTAGAGCTTGCAATAGCACCAGAAAATTGGTCTCCTGCTGAATCACAACCAGTCTTTTAGAAACAATTGCCTTCATCCTGTCCTTTATAAGCAACTGGAGAGTGGGAGGACTAGGACCTGGATGAAGTACCCTGTGGAAAACCCAAGTGTACTTCAGCCCATGGTGATGGAAAGGGCTGATGGTGTCTGCAGACCCTAGAAGCAAGGAAAGCATCACATCATTCCATTGATACCATGCGTAGGAATTTGGAGCCCACCACAGTCGGAGAATGGAAGCACCACTGATCTTGGCACTGAGTATTCCCACTGCCTCAGAAACAAGGGAGTGGGATTATTCTTTCCATAGCAATTAATGGTCAACATGGCAGGATGGGAGAGAGGGACAATATTGCTGTAGCTTTCTGATCTTTGTATTTCACGTGATTGTCTCTTTACTGAGGTCCTCTGATTTTGGGAGGGTATTTACATTGGTATCTGGCTATTACACTAGTAGTGGCAAGGGGGTAGGGTAGATGTTTCACCCAATCAGTCTCTCGACTACTCTTTTATACAACCACATTTATGTCCATAGTAGTCTCTTATCTCTATTTGTGCAGCCAGGACAGAGGAGAACTGAGCCACAGCCTCTACTCGTTGGCAAACCAAGGGTGACCACAACAACTGCAGGAACTTGGTAGATCCTCACAGACAGGGACTGTGGAAGACCAGCAGGAACCCGCTGATAGGAGGGCCCTTCCAATTCCAGCCCAGCTAGTGACAAGCCTGCTTTCTAGGTGACTGATAGGTACAAGGAAATAATTCTGTACTAAGAGCTCTGGGACAAATGCCAACTTACCAGTGAGACAGGAGGTTAAAGATTGTGTGAATAACACAAATTCACATTTAGGGCACTTTGTATTCACATGTCAGTCCAAGGAGTGCCAGGACCAACCTGAGTACTGATGTGGCATTCCTGGAAGGACAGAGCTTATGTGCCAGTCTTATTTGAAACATAACTGGCTTCCCAGCAAACATACTCCAAAAAGTGCAGTAAAACAACCAGCATTACCAGTACACTTGGTAACTTGAGCAAATTAGAGTTAAGCAAAGAGAATTCTATAGCTTTTATGTTCAGTGGGGTGTTTTTTTTTCTTTTAAAACCTTTTTAAAAAAAAGTTGTATCTTTTTCCTCCTGACTTTGCATATGCTCTGTTGAAGCACTGGAGTTATAGCCTAAGTCAGCCTTTCTCTCCTCACCCTCCAATCCCTCAACTCTTCTTTGAGGAACTTGACACAAGAAAACGATGCAGGTAACTTCCCCTCAAAACCTTGCTGGGTTTTGCAGGGCAAGAGCTTCCAAAATGATCAAACATAAAAGGGCCTAAGGCCAGCAAAATCATATATATCAGTCCTCTGTTAAGAGAAGCTGAAGGCTATACTTACAACCACGTACAAAATGGAAAGGGAATGAGAATTCTATTAGAATTCTAAGAACCTAAGAGAGGTTCTTAAAAAGGCTTCCTTCCAAAGATTTCTTATCAGAGCAGCTTAGCTTCATTGTTCAACTTGCTCGTTGATGACATGGAGGAAGGGGCAGAGTGTCCCCTCAGCAAGTTTGCTGATGATACAAAACTGGGAGTGGCTGATACACCAGAAGGCTGTGCTGCCACTCAGCAAGACCTGGACAGGCTGGAGTTGGATGAAGAACCTAATGAAGTTCAACAAAAGCAAGTGCAGGGTTCTGCTCTTGCAGGAGTAATAACGCCATGGACCAGTTCAGGTTAGGGGTTGACCTGCTGGAAAGCAGCTCTGCAAAGGACCTGGGAGTTCTGGTGGACAAGTTGCCCATGAGCCAGCAATGTGCCTTTGTGGCCAAGAAGGGCAATGGTAGCCTGGGCTCATTAGGAAGAGCATGGCCAGCAGGTCGAGTGAGGTAGTCCTCCCCCTTTAATCTGCTCCATTGAGGTCTCATCTTTAGTACTTTGTCCAGTTCCCAGATCCCCAGTTCAAGAAAGACAAGGAGCTACTAGAGAGGGTGCATTGGAGGCCACAAGGATGATCAGGGGACTGCAGCATCTCTCTTATGAGGATGGGCTGAGAGCACTGGGCCTGTTTAACCTGCAGAGGAGATATCTGAGGCAGATCTTATCAATGCATACAAGTACGTTAAGGGCAGGTGTCAGAAGGATGGGGCCACTCTTTTCACTAGTGCCCAGGAACAGGCACAAATTGAAGCATGGGAAGTTATTCTATCTGAATACGAGGAAAAACTTCCTCACTCTGCGGGTGGCAGAGCACTGGCACAGGCTGCCCAGAGAGGCTGTGTTCTCTGAAGACATTCAAAACCCACCAGGATCCGAGCTTGTGCAACCTCCTCTAGGTGAACCTGCTTTAGCAGCGGGGTTGGACTAGGTGATCTCCAGGTGTCCTTTTCAACCCCAACCATTTTGTGATCTGTGTTCATCACTGCCTTTCTTTGTAGGGATACCAAAAGACGGGATTGGAATTGGTTTAGCCTGGTGTATAACTTCCATTTTGTCCTCATTTACAGAACTGTCATATTATGGGGTAGCTCAGACAAGAGAGATGCCTGCTGCATAAAACAAGGTTTATTTTTAGTCAAAGACAGTGGCAGATGGTTCCCTCAGCGCAGCCGGCGGGCTGAAGATCTGGTGATGGGAGTTGTTTTGGTGGGGGTTTCTTCCTCTCTTAATTCTGCCGATAGCTCTAAAAAGAGTAAAACATGTCAATAACCAGCACTGCTGCTTTGAGCAGAGAACTCTACAGGCAACTTAGGCAGTGCTCTGAAGCCCTGCACACATTCTGGAACCCCCCTGGACTAAAATCTATAATCTTTCTCCTTTTTCACCTTCAAAGCATACATGTACAATGCCATACCATCATCAGAGCTGTCCTCCTCATCACTGGAGAAAGTGATAATAGCTTTTTTGGGTGGAGGGCGCTTTTTGGCACGCTGCTGGTTTCGGAGGCTGCGAGGCTGGGGTGTGACAAAATCTTCATCCCTGTTAGCTGTGCTCAGGGGCTGGCGACGTGAACCTGCCAAGAAAAGAAACAAAACAAGACAGTTAGCAGCCATTCTGTATGTCAAGCTGAGGAAGTGTCCCCAGGTGTCCCTGCTGGAGCTGCAGGATCAGGGGGAAGGCTGCAGTCTCACGAAAGGAACATACTTCCTGTTGGCCTCCGCTTGGCCGACTCTGGCATTGGGGTTGCACTGCCTTTCTGGCATGTCTCTGCTGAATCCAGCCCTCGGTTATGGGCGGCAAACAGCTTCTGCTCCAGCTCTTCAGCCAGAGCCTGATGGAGATGGAACACAGGGGAAAAAAATAATTACATCTGTAGCAGAACTGCCATAAAGTTCTTTGATAAATTTTGGGGAGTGAGGAGTAGCCTGCTTAAATGGAGACCTGCAGGTCTTTCCAATCATTTTCCTGGCTTGGACACTTGCCCCCCATCCTTACTTTAGCCTCAGGTTTGCTGCCTGCTCTGCGGAATCGAGCCAGCACAGTTTGGAAACAACTGTAGACAGCTGGGTCTTGGAGCTTGTCTGCAAAGCAGTCAAAGTTGTCCTGCAGCTTTTGAAGGCCCCGTTCCGAGATGGGAAGCAGAGTAAGGCAACAGGACAGATCCCGATACTGACGCTCAGTTCTGGGAGAGACAAAAATTGCCATCAACTCTTATGAAAAGGGGTGTGTAAGGATGAGTATATGCTACCTAGAACTACAGCACATGAGCATAAAGCATTTCCTGCAGGTGCTTCTGCCCTGCAGAACATGAGATTCAGGTTGTTCTTTTACAGGTCAGTTACAGCCTGCCATGGCATACCATGCACAACTGTATTACATCAAAGACACTGACTCAGTGTCTGTCAGAAAAACGTGAAGGTTCACTGTTAAAGAACACAGTCAGCTGTTTAAAAAGCATCACAAGTTATTGCCAGCTACGAGTTAAAAAAACTAAACACAGTGAGGTGAGGATCTTTTTGAAGGGCCTTTCAACTGAATAATTAAAACCCCTGGCTGGTTATTTTTTCATATTTGAAATAGTCTCAAGCAGAAGCTGTACTTGATGTTTTCTCTCTCATCTCTCTTTCCTGGACAGTTACATGAAGAAAGCAGTTTTCATTAAGATAAGGCGAACAAATAACAATGGTTGTATCAAAGGACAACATTCAAATCCCAGCAAAAGCTACTAAAAAGAAAGGAAAAAAAAACCACCTCAAAAAGCAAACTAACTCTCTGTGATAGAGTAGGAAGAAAAAAAGCTAGGCCAAAGCCCATGTTATTCATAAAGTGGAGGGGCCAGAAGTCTGTCCTGCATATACTCTCTCAGAATGCACTGTCCAAACACAGGCAGATGAAGAAAAAAGCTGCAGCATCCAGGTGTTTCCACATTTAAAGTCTGGACACTACCTGGCATGTTGCTAAGTTCAGAACTCCAGAAATGCTGAGGAGGGTGATGGTGGCTGCACAGTCTTTTCTGATAAGCTCATCTTTTAAGCCTGGAGCAAGAGTCTTGCTCTAGCATTACCAGTAGCATGCATTAAAATGATCATCTTTGTGGAAGAGAAATATTAAGGCATTTTAGTAAAGGCTAGACATGGCTTACACACAGATGTTTCTTTACAAACACTGAAGAGCTCACCAGTGCTCCTGAGTGGCAATTTTGGAGGGAGTGTCCACTCTCTACCCCAGCTCAGGAAACAGAATCCAACTATTTCTGGGGAATATGCAAGTCCCTGAAGCAACTGAGCAGGTCACATGCCCAGGCACTGTGTACAAGTGGCCAAGATAAGCAGACACAGCTTAAACCTCAAGGGCAAAGCCACAATGATGGAGGAGGAGACCTACAGGAATGCAGTAAGGCAGGGTGCACCAAATCCAGTGGAAGGTAAAGTGGAGGTATCACTGAAAGTACATGATAGAGGGACAGATAAATGTCTACTCTGTTTCTTCATGGAGCTGCAGGTGGGGGGTGAAGGTGTATGTACTTTTAGGAGGAAGATAGGAAAGAAAAAGGTGGGAGACACACCTAATACAGGTTGTATCAGTGTTTGTTACTTTGTCATGTGAAGAATATGGTGGGAACTTGTTAAAACCAGTGTACACAAGCTAGTTTCTCCTAACAACTCCTAAGAAGATTTGCTGGTCAGAAAAATTAGGATTATGACCCACCTGGCAATCCGGAATCGCTGACAAAGTTTCTCCACCAAGCTCTCTGTCTGTTTGTCCTTTGTAATATATGAGAGGAGATGTCTGCAAAGGGAAAAAAATGGCCAAGTTGAGAGCACAGAGAGGTACTTCCATTTCTGCCTACACCATGGGATGCTTGCAGCTATCCTATCCCGTGATCAGCTGGGTGGTCCTCCAAAAGAACACATGACAGCTTGGCGTGCCTCAGACTTGGTTCAGGAGAAGCTATAAGCATATACATATTTCAAACAGTAATCACAGTCCCTGTTGGGGGACAGCTGCTATGACATAAGGTACAACTAAAACTGTGTGTTCACATAATAGCACCTACCTAGGATGAAACTAAGAAATCCAGCTAAAGCAAAGACCCTTGTAGGTATAGAGTGAACACATCTGTGTGGGGTCTGATGTAGGAGGGATGCCAAAATGGCTGCAGTGCTGGCTTCTGAATCACTCCTTCCATCCAGTTTTAAAAGCATGCACCTCCAAACAATCTCCTCACTTCACAAGAGTGCTGGCAGACAAACACAAAGGGAGTGGGGTGGCATGCAGTCTTGTTTTTCCCCCGTTCAAAACCATTCTTATGACTTTTTCATTATTAATTTGCTGAAGGTGTCTTGCTGTATTTCAGATCAATGCAAAAGTGAGCGTTACTTTGCTCTAAAGTGGGAACAAAGCGTACCAGAACTTAAATGCTAACCTGATCCCATGTTTTCCTGTCTGCTTTTGCAGCCATAAAACTATTTTCAGTCTCAATTTCAGCCTCACTAATAGACTTTTTCTGTGCCTTTCTTGGAATTCCTACCTGTCCAAAATTCCATCCCTCTTCCTAAATGCACTGGATTCTCATGGACAGAAAGACTAGTTGAAAAAAATCACAGGAGATTGTTATTGTTCTTCTCTCCAGCAATAGTGATACTTTTGTTTTGTCTAGCACCCCCCTCTGTAATCCACAGGGACACAGGCAGCTCAGAAAAACCCTCATGTGGTTAAGTTTCAGAAAGGACAGGAAAATTTCTGTCATTTACCGCTAAAGACACTATTCATGTTGTCTGTGAGCAACTGGTACCCTCAGGTTGAAATATTCCAGTATGTCTCTCTACTATGGAGTATTCATTGGGAAAAAAAACCGAACCCAACCAACAAGACCACTTCCCCCCCCCATCCATTCAAACAAAACAAAACCCCACAACCCCAGAACAAAACCAAACCCCCAAACCTTTTACTTGAACTACAGTTTTGCTGAAATTGCTTACAAAAAGCCAGTATATGCCACCAAAATGACAAAGTCACCAAAGTCTTTAAAATCTGTCCTGTTCTAATGTTGCATATCCATGTTCCTATGTGCAAACCCAACTGTTTTTCTTTTCTGGAGGGAAAAATCATTTTGAATGAGCTAGTGGAAACTCTCTGTGGAGTTTCCTCACCCCCAACTATGTGGCTTTAGAATCGATTCCCCTCAGCATGACTCCATTTCAGATACAGTCTGAAAAAGTCAGATAAAGGAAAACAACTGAAAAGGCATACTTGTACATGTCACTGTAGTTTCTCTCCCCTGGATCTGTCACCCTCTTTGCATAAACACAGTCCCAGTCAAAAGAGATTTCTTTAACATCCAGCATACCTCATAATAGTGCGGAAAGATTCCTCTTCTATGCTGCAGTTAGGATCTGAGAGATGACTGATTATGTCTGGAAGCAGGTTATAGATGGCATTACCCTGTGCAGAATACAAGGTTCTACATGATATAGAATTATGAAGGACAGCTAAAGTCGAGCCAAATAAGCTGCCCACTTAAAATTACCTCTTCCCACCTTAAATCTACTGTCTGAAAGCATCAGCTTTTTGAAACAAACTGTACACAGCCAGCCAAACCTATCCAGGACTACTTGGCCAAAGTTAAGGGGTGAAAAAACAACAAATCAACAAGATAACAACTGCAACCCTTGTTGTGCAACTGCTCTGCTCTTTGGCAGACCTGGATGCAGTTTCTTCGCTTTCCAACCTTGTTGCAACCCAACCAAAAAGCTTTCTCATAAAGGAAACTTACAGAGCAGTTGAGCCCAAGGAGCTGCCTTCCATCTTGCCTGAAACAGCCCAATCCAGATTCCCTTTGCCAATGCTTTTACATGGTTTTGTCATATAAATCTGTCATCGCTGCAGGGATCGGAAGGCAGTGCAGCCAGGGGGCCAGCTCTGCTTTTAACTCATCAAGCCAAGACAGTAATATCCCAGTATCATTGCAGCTTCTCAGGCAGTAGATCTCAAACTCTGAGGGGGCCACAGCAGCCTTTATGTTGAATGAACAGCATAGAGGGGTTAACTCTGCTACTGTTCTTATCTGCTTGGGCTGTAGCTACTTCAATTTAAGTATCTTGATGTCACACAATCAACTTTGAAGGGTTTCAGAGATGGTGCACTGCCTGAGCCATAAGGTCAGGGAACTCTGTTGTAAGGCCTAAAGGTAAGCTGCAGAAAACTGTTCCCAACCCTGTGCTAGGCATACACAAGAAAGCAAACGGACAACACACTGGTCTAGAGCCTGCTTTCAATGTGAACAGATGAGGTCAAATTCAGCAACATCAGGGTTGAAACAAAACTCATGTTGCAGTTTATTTTCTCTCTCCTCATTTAGGCAGTGCAGGACAGCCAGCCAGCTGCTATACACCACTGCAACACCTTTCTCCAATACTCAAGTCTTGTGTGATTGGCCCAGCCTCCACCAGCCTTTCCCCACTCTTGTGAAGTAAGGTCCCCGAGCATGCACTTGCCTTCTTGGAGAGTTCAGTGAAAAAGTTCTGAGCCACTTCCATGATTGCCTCCTCTGGGTCTATAAGCAGAGCTGCCAACTCGCTCACTTGACCCTTCACCTTTACCATGTCTTTGAGGATGAGGTGAGTCATCACCAGTGCAGCCATCTTCCTCACTCTTGGGCAGGGGTCCCGCAGCCTGGTGGAAGTGTATAGTTACCACAGAAAGCAGCTGAGTATCTCAAGTTACTGATACCCACATCAGCCTAACTCCACAGCCTACATCTGCGTGCCTTTCTTGCCACCTTCAAATTTGGTTTCCTGGGTCATTCTCACCTTCTGGAGGCCCAGTGCCTTCCACAGAGCTCTCGTGTGTCTGCTCCCAGCAATGAGTCTAGCATTACCTGGCATAGAGATGTGATGTCCAAGGCTCCACCAGGTTGGGGAAACGGATGGCCAGATCTCCTGCTGCAATAAGGAGGTTGGATCTCACACCAGGCAGACTGGACTTCTCCATCATAGTGAACAGCAGGCGCAAGTGGGAGTCACAGAACTCGGAGCTGATGAGAAAGTGTAGAGAAAAGAAGGCATAGATACCAAATTCCCATCTCTCAGGCAGCAGACACACAGAGAAAATACTATCTATGGATGCCCTTTTTGTTTGTTCTTTCCACAGGAAAGGAGTTGTACTGTTTGTTTAGTACTAGGAAGGTTGGGAAGAGAACACCGACAGGACCGGCCATTACCTGATCATGCAGACTTTGCCAAGAGCGAGGGCTGCAGCAGCTGAGAGCCCTGCATCGCTGTAGAGCCCAGGGTTGTTGCAGATCTTGAGCACCAGTGGAACAAAGGCAAACAACAGATGCTTCCCTGGAATGGGGATAAAGACAGCAAGTATGAGAGCACTGTCTGTGCATCCCTCTTTAAGAAAAATTACTGCATTTATCCCACAACTTCTGCAAACTATAGAAACTGATTGACTCACTTTCACCATTGAAAAACCACCTCCAGAGAGGCAGAGCAAAGAAAGAGGCAGCTTACATAGAAACTGACACCAGACCAAAAAAAAAAAAAAAAAGAAAGTGTTTTCTTCAGCCAGAAACAGCCTTCCTCCTTCTGGATCTGTTGCCCACTGTACCTGTTCTTTCACAGGCAGGCAGAGCAAGTGCTCCTTGGTGGCAGCCACACTTACCATCTAGAAGCTCTGTCTCACAAATACTGCGGATGAGTTCAGCCTCAGTGTCATCAGCTGTGGCTCCCACAAGGCCCAGTTCCTCCTCCATAGTGGTCTCATTTCCTGTGCTCTGTGAAGAAAGGAAGACTGTAAAAAAAAATGGCAGGCAAAAATAACTCCTTCCTTCACAAAGAGGTGCATGCCTGTTACCAGCAGCATGGCTAGAGCTGAGAAGAACCAGACTGATGGAGGTATATAACCCACTTTACCCTGAGAACTGAATGAAGCTAATGAAGAGTAGTCCAGGATCTGCCAGTCCACATGCCACAGAACACCAATGAAAATAAAGCCCAAGCTACTGCAGCTACATAACAAAGACAGACATAGGACACATCTGGCATCCATGCCCAAGCCTGGCACAACTTAAGGAACATGTAAATCCTAAAGCAAGAAGTTCAAAGTCACTTTTGAATTGCTGGTCTTGTGAGCAAGATTATAGGAAATCTTACAGCAAGGCAAAAGCAACACAAGAGAGGAAGAGCTTGCATTGTTACCACCCGAGAGAAGATAGGACCCCCAAGCCCTATGGAACAAGGCTGCAGAGACCCTTTTCCAGAACTCAGACCCCAAATGGGTGTTTCTCACCACCAGCCACAATTGCAAAAGACTGCACTGGTAGGAAAGGAGGTGATGAATGGAAAAATGTTTGTCTGAAGCAGGAATATAAGCATGGCCAAAACATCACCCTGCATTCCCTCCCCTCTGCCTCTTTAAAACCCAAGACCAGTGTGAAAGCTTTATCATTCCAGGACCTCCCTGCCTCTCCTGTCCATCTCTATTCTCAAAGCACACATTACCCTGGATCTCATGCATCCTCAGGAGCCCATTCTCCAGAAGTTTGCTGTAGCAGTAGCTGGGACACCAGAAGAGCTCCCATGAGTGAAAAAAAACAACAAACCATTCAGTTCTCACCTGGGGTCTCTGCTTCTTCGTGCTTCTGTCAGAATGGTTCTTGGCCTTCTCCTCGTCTCTGAGCATACGGCGTCTGCGTAGCTCTGTGCTCACTGACACTTCCAAATATGCTACCTGCTGCAGTGCCACCTGCCCCACAAGGGACACCAGGTGCATCAACAGGAATGTGGGGAGACTGCTAGCACCATCAGAGACTCTGCTGGGAGAATCCCCTGAATCTAGCGGAGAAAAATTACTATAGTTCAATGCTGACCTAGACCTCTTCCCCCATCAGTTATTGCAAAGTCCCACTGTATAACCCATCTCCATGCTTCAGAGTCCTTCACAGCACTTGCACCCTTCCACACCAACCCTTCCACCAGCCCCTCAGCTCTGTTCTCCTCCTGCAGTTACTGTAGGCCACCCAATCACAGCACTAGAAACCATGGCTACAGATTTCCTTCATCAGCTTTTTTCCTCACCAGCTTTCTGCCCATCATCCTCCTTCAGTTTCTCCAGAGCTTGCTGACTGCACGCCTGCAGAACGTGAGCACATATCTCCTCTGCCCCTTCTGCTAGCTGATAGATGAGTGTTACTGCTGCCTCCATGAAGGGGATCCAGTGGCAACTTGGCTGAGCAAAGCCTGATGAGAAGAGAGAGCAATGTTCCACACATCAGCAACAACACAGGCTGATGTGTGGTAGGTACATCACACAGCCCAACTTCATCTCCTCCAATCCTATTACTGACTTCAGCTCACCTTTAATCACAGTCTCACTCAGGCAGCCAAAGAGCATGTGGTTCTGTGGCAGTCGAAAAGGTGTACTGTTCTTCCCCAGTGCTTGCTGTAGAGAGAACAAATGAGTTACTCTTTCCACCTAAGAGATCCCCCCATGCCCTTCTCCATACTTAATTTTACTGTGTGAACAATGCTAATCAAAGCCATGCTAGGCCTATGGCAGAGATATCCAGTACTGCCCTGCAGCTAAATACACAGCAGGAACATCACTGTCACTTTGAAGGCATGGTGGTAGCACTGCGTGGATTTAAAGCTTAGCCAAATGATGATCCCACACAGTTCCACTATTTTCACTTCAATAAGAGTAACTCTTTCGAAATCTCAAAATTACTCTTTTAAGATCTGATATTATTTACTCATTCTCCACAATGAATGAAGAGGGAAACCTTTACAGCATCTTCAGGGTTATCAGCAGTAAGGCAACTAGATGTCCTTGCCTGGGGATACTCCAGAACCACAAGGTTTTGTTTAAAAGCAAAATATCACCAACAGAAATCACAGAGGACAGTGTGAGGTTGTTAACACCACCTCACACTTAGGCTGTTGCATATACTCTGTATCAGTCCCTCTCTGGTTTAAGTTGGAAATAAGATAATCCAGAGAAATACTAAACCAAGTATAACAATGCCCAACATATCACAGCGTATCTGTGTCTGCTGATCAAGGCATACATGACCAAAACAAAAGATTTACTTGAGGATTTAAAAGCTTTCAGTAGCTGGAAACTGAATTCCTTAGTTCACTACAGTCTTACTCTCTGTACTGAATTTCTGGTTGGGGGGAGAGTTACCGTAGTCATTCAAGTATCTACAGTTCAGTCCCTTCTCACATGCAAACTTAAGTGCAGAGTTAAGTCAACCTAAAATTGAATTACAACTGCCTTCAAAACACTTACGAATGTTGTGGTACATTCTTTAAGGTCTTGCAGTAATGTCCCCAGTGGAAGAGGCAAACATACAATGATGGTGCTGTGTGAAGGAGGGCTGGCTGGTTTTATGCTGAAATTCCTAAACCAAAATGCCCTAAATGCTTGAGTCAAAAACCAAAGAATTCCTCCCACCAAGTACATTAAAATAAAAATTATTCCCCAGACAAGTCATTGAGCATCGTGTTGCAAGTACAACATGGATAGGTTTGAAAACCTTCCATGCTTTATGTTCAGATGTACAACTGACAACTCCCAAATATGAACTAATATGAAGGGCAAAAGAATCGCATCAGTAGAGGAAAGGGCTTCATGGTTGAGAAAACACAAATCAATTTAGAACTGGGAGTATGAAGAAGAGAGCTGAAAGGAAAACACATTTTCTTGTGCACTGAACTCTTTACTAATCAAATTTAACCTGTTACCTAATGGAAGTTCTTTTATTAAATGTTCGCTGATGTGTGCCAAGCTTTCCAGGTGCTGCTGAATGGTGCTAACCTACTTAATTTTAAAAATCAGTAAAAATATAATCCCTTCTCCCCCTTCTCAGTACAAACCATTTCCCCCCCATCTTTGTTTCTGGATAACACTGTTTCTGGATGACCTCAAGAGCAAACTAAGAGTCTTACCTTGGTGTTCCTGGCAAGTTTGGAGATAGCATTGCATACTTCTTTAGCCAGGCGATAGTCTTCACATCCCTTCTCAGACAGCCCTACTGTCACCAAAACATCCAGGTTGCTACCTACAATCTCTGGATTCCCTCTGTGGAATGGAAGGGAGAGAGGTATTACTTGAGTTGCTGCTGAAAGTTTACAGAACTATGGATAACCAGGAGAAATACTCCTTATATCTTGCAGTGATTTGAGGAGATAAAAATTCCATGCAATGACTCAAGATATAGCTGTAAGAGCAGCAAGCAATATTCCACAGGAGCCAATATAATCCACACTCCACTAAGAGAGGAGATTCTCCAAAGTGAACAACACTGGGCACACTCTCCCTTTGTAAAGGAAGAAGATTCTTGACTCTTTTGTTATCAGAAAGGAGCAAAATTTAAAGGGGTGAGACAAAGAAAAATGTTGCAAAACAGAAGAGAGTCCAACAGCTCAGGACTGGTGACACGTGCCACTTCCTTCCCTACTGTGGAAACACAATACCACCACCACCACAAAACCCACCCCCCACCCCACTCCCTGCCCTCAAAGGGTTACTGGGCTGGAAAACTGAGAAAATGAAAACCTTACAGAGCAATTACACTCTTTTGCCCCAGAAAGGGAGGCAGGTATCTCTATGTGGGAGCTTCTCACTGTTCTTACACATAAAGCTGCAAAGCTGTGACACTGTAAGCACTGAGAAAGGGTGGACAGTCAGGATACAACAGAAGTAACATTGCTGTGCTCAGAGACTGCTGGTGGGACCCAGCACAGCTACACTTACTGCCAGGCTTCATTACCCCACGATGCAGTTACTACTTCTGAAGCTGCAGAACCGAAAAAGTCAGCTGATGCAGCACCCACAGCTCTTCAATAAAAATCAACTCCCTTTATATCCTCCCACTGCCATGATCAGGTGGGTCCCTGCACTCACTGTGCCATCATCCCCAGCAGCATCACAGCAGCACGTCGCTCCAGTGAGGAGCACTGAGATTTTCCTGTGAACTGCTCCCAAAGCAGCTGGATCACAGCAGGCTCGATTTCATCTTTCTGCACAAACTCCGAGATCTGCAAGAGACATTTTAGACTGGAGATTAGGAACAATTCCTTCCCCAAAAGGATGATCAGGCACTGGACCAGGCTGCCCAGGGAAGTGGTGGATTCGCCATCCCTGGAAGTGTTCAAAAGCTTTGTAGATGAGGCCCTCAGTGACATGGGTTAGTGGTGGCCTTGGCAGTACTGGGGAATGGTTGGACTTGATGATCTTAAAGGTCTTTTCCAATCGAGTTGATTCTATGCAACATAACAAGTAGGGAGAGGCAGAGGAGGATGGACTTCAAGCCAGCAAAGACATTAACTGCAGTGACTAACATTTTAATGAACATCTAAGATCACAAATACAATCTAAACCTGGGCAAGACAAGTACTCACTATTTCTTCTAAGCACTGTACTGTTCCTAGCGATGCATCCACCATGATGAGAGAGAGAGAACGCACCAGGTGCTGGACCCTGGCCCTTTGAAGAGGGGGAAAGAAAATACAACTATTAAAAAAATATATGTTAAAAAGAAAAAGCAGCTGTCACAATTACTTTCCTATTCATAGAGCTGAGAAAATCTATTAGATAACAGAGCTGATCCCTGGGGACAGGAAAACTTCCCCCTCCACAAGCTAGAGATCTTCAAGTCTCCCAGCTCAAGTGCCAATAAGCATGACACAGGCTCAGAAGTCTACTCCTTGTGCACTTCTGCTCCTTTCAGTGCTCAAAAATCCAACAAGAGGCACACACCAGCCACTTGCCAGTTTGCTCTCAACCACAAGTCAAAGTACTGTTCCCTAAACATAAGAAACTGAAAGTCTGTCTATGAACAAATAAGGCCAGAGCTCAAACAGGGGGAGAGTCATCTCCAGGCAGTATTATCAAGAAAAAGTGACATGTAGTAGGTGCTTTTTATTGCACTGCTGGTACAAATAAGGGTGAAGTATGGTGCATCTCTCCAGGGATCACACTTAGAGCATGTGTATCCAACAGGATTATATATGTGGGCAAATGCTAAGAAAAAAGAGCAAGTGAGGAGAGAGGAGACCCAGCTCCTGTCTAGTGTGGAAGAAGCAAGCATGCAAGTGGGACCCAGCTCCCACCCCAGAATCCTCAATAAGAATCAGTAACAAAGACCCCATTAACATCCTCTCATCTACCGTGTGTAGAGATTTGTCACAAACAAATTTAAGACTGGTCTGAATGAAATATAAATAACAATGTGTGTGAAAGCACCCAAACAATAACACCTAACCTTGTACAGTGTGAGGGATAAAGAAACAGCGTATACTGAAAAACCAAGGACACAACTGACAGTAAACACTGAGGAATGTGTTGTGTACATCAGAAGCAGAATGCCTACACTTAGATAAGGCCACAGCATGAATGACTTGTCAGCAAAAAGCCAGCTCTGGTAACAGAAAGATACTTCTAACTTTAGACCACATTGTATAACACTCATTATCCCAAAGAATGAGTGACTACAGCCATTAGAAACCCAAAATGTGACAATTTTAGGCAACAACTTTGCCCACAGAAGTATGCAAGACTTAAGACATGGAATGATTCCATAATCAACAACCAAATAATCAACCATAATCAACCCAAAAGGGTTGAAAGAGCTGTCCAAAATAGTTCATTGTTGCCAATCAGGAAGCCTGCTGACCAGATGAGCATTCATAATTGACACCCTTTGTTCCTCATCATGTAGAGACCCTACCCAGATAATTTGGGCACGTATCTTGGTGCAGTGCTTTGGATAAAAATGGCATTTATGAGAATATTAACTGTGAGTGTCTGATAACAGGTTTAATTTAAAATAATTCTCCATTTCTCCTTTTTTTAAGGTTTCACATGGAGTTTTGCTGCATAAATTTCCTACACATGAATGCTGCAACAAACCAAGAGCAGAAGCTCAGCAGTAGGACCCGAGGAAGACTGGGATACTCAGGTATCTAACCTTACATTTCAGCTCAGAGTGAAATTTGATTTCTTTCCCTATCCATTCCCAACAGCTCCCCAATAGAAACGGGGGAAGGAATACTTACACTTACAAAGAGTCATACCTCTCTGAACCCTTGCTGGGGCTCAGGTAGAGCCGCCTGTAGGCGTTCAGCACAGCTTCCCTGATTCCAGGCTCTTTTGACCATATGAGGGGGAGCATTCTGCGAACTCCAGACAGTGCTTCAGACACACTAAACTGCGAGACTGTCACAAAGAACTCAATGGCTTCCTGCACCACTGCAGAGAGACGAACAGTTGCATTAGTGCAGTTCTCTCCTAATCCCCATTCGAGAGCCTATTAAAACATACTCATAGGCACACTGTTCTCACAACAAGCCTTACAAACATCTAAGATCACTGCTACCGCCCGCTGAAGTCAGAAAGGGATCACTAGTACAAAGACATAGATTTCCTGGAGGAAATGGGCACAGGTTAACAGCTAAATCTAATGCAATACATTTAGAGGAAGAGCAAAGAGACCATATTTAAAAGTTGTACTCATCAACCACCTTCAACTATAGCACTAAAGAGGGGCAGGCCTTAGAACCTGTTGATCAGGATCACTTTCAGCTCCAGAATAAATTGTAAGGAAAGGTGAGGTGAACAAGACAAGCTCTCAGCTCCCCTCTTGTGGCCAGCATAACACCTGGAGCTGCAACAGGGCACTGAGCAGATAACAGAACCCAGCTTCACTGGCCATGCTTACTTTGGGAGAACGTTGGCCGAGATGAAGCTTCCATACGCTAAGTAATTTTGGTCACCTGGCTTTCAAAACCATTTTTAACCTTGATATTTAAAAATGGATTCCTAAACAGCCCGTTCATGCCCTAACACAACCCTTTCATGACAGCCTTTTAGACAGTGCTTGCTTTTCCAATATCCTGGAAGTGCCTGGGACATCTGCTCCATAAAATGTAGTTCTTCCATTTAGTAGCTGCGCTACTCCCATATCTCCTTTTCAGCAAGGGGAAAGACATGGAAATGATGAACAGGGGAAAAAGCCACATGATTATTTCACACACCTGAGACACAGTTTTCATACATCAACTTGCTGATCAGGCTCAGGGCTTCTGTGATTTTCACTGAGAAGTTGTAAGCATCTTGCAGGTATTGCACCAGCATCTCCTGTTTGATCAGCTCTGTTTGAGGCTGCTCTTCTGGTACAGCTTCTTCATTCTCAAGACCACTGTTGCCATGTGGAGGATCCTCACTGTTCTCACCTGGGCACGAACCTGCACAGCATGAGCACTTGTTTTGTGAGCAGTACTGAAGGTACAAGAGAAACAGACATGGTTTGGGGCACTTTAACCCTTCTCCCTCCACTCCATAGTGACATCTTCCAAGAGCCAGGAGACAAAAAGCCAAATTCAGCCATCAGATTTGGCTACAAAGACAAAATCTCAGCATACTGTACTATACTACAGTGGCTACAATGGCTACTGTACTACAGTACTACAATGGCACCACAGAAAAGCCAGCTTAATACAGGTGCAGAGACAGGAATGGTCCAGTTGGGGTAAACACCATTAAAATGCTGAATGGGTTACTTCGAACTTGATAGGTCCCAAAAGGCTTTAAAAGGGAATCAGGGCAGAGTAGGGAGAAGGCAAACACTAGTACTCCCTAGCATCAGAAATGCACTTCTACTGGGAACATAGGACTGTTAACACCAAAAATCAAGCATCAGGACTATGTGATCCAGCAAAAATGCCAGGCCACTAGAGAAGAAAATAATCCAGAGATGGCGCGGCTCTACCTTGAGCTGTCAAGTACACACAGACTGAGCCCCACAGGTCAGAAGGAAGGACAGGGCACTGCAGAGGGTTTTGGTCTAGCTCTGGCATTAGCTTAGTCTTAGGGAAGAGACATAGCCATGTGAAGCAGTGTCGTGGTTTAAACCCAGTCACTCATGACACATTTACCTGTGTAAAGTCTCTTCAGAACACCCAGGATGGTTGCCTCCTCATTTTCCTCCATGAGGCTGCTGAAGGGCTCCTTCCCCTGGAAGTGACCCAGGGCCTTCCGTGTAAGGCGGGCTGCACTCCTGGACAATGACATTGCCCAGAGAAGAACATCAACAATCCGTCAGGGTACAACATAAGGGAAAACATCCAACTTCCCCTGAAAACCTGGGAAAGCGGCTCCTGCCCACATCTTGTGCTGGGTGCCCATGTCAGTGTCTTCTACAGAGTAATGTTACTGGAAATCATCACTCTACCCTGGAGCTCCAAACCCTTCTTGCACAGAGAACAAGAAACCTTGGGTAAACACCCTCTCAAAATACAGAGCCTTCTTACTTGTAATTCAGCTTCCTCAGCAGCCCAGTGATTTGCTTCAACGTACTCTCCACTGTTTCCTCAACTTCCAGCACCTCCTCTTCCTCTTCCTGCAGTGGTTGGAAGAGCTGTTGTATGGCAGCCCTAACTTCTGGCAGCATTGCTTCCCACTCTTCCTCTGGGGTGATCACTGGACCTATTAAAAAAAGCCACAAACAAAAAACAACAGAGGGAATGAGGAACACAGAGACCCAGATGACACCCTAAATGGGGAAAGAAACTAATTTGAAACTTAGGAATTCTGCTTCCCTTTCCTCCCCCAGCAGGCACTATTCACTGTCCACACTGCAGTAAGAATAGACAAGAAAGAAAAAAGAAACCACTAAGGGTAAAAAAAACTGACAGGTAAGAGAGAACCATCATCTGATGCTGTTTTGTAGGCAGCACCAGGTTCAAGGCTAATCAAGTTTAAATTACCATCTGACCAAAATTATGGCTCAGGGAGTTGTTGAATGGTTGGGAATGGAAACCTTGGAGGGTGTTCATAGGTAGTTTCAGTTCTTACACTGAAAATAGGATATTTACATAGATGGACTGTTGATCTAGATATTGCCCTTTTATAACACTACAGTATGAAAACCTGTTTTGAGCTTAGTCCCAGTTATCTGGCCTCACCGTTTCACACCAGTAAGATCAGAGATAAAAGCCACCACAACCCAGGAGAAAATTTCAGATGAGTAAAAATAAACCCTGGTATGTCCTGGGAAGAAGAAGAAGAAGGGGAATTACCTGCTGCGGATCTGTTACGATCCCTCATTTCTTGCAGCTTCTGCACTTCTTTTTTCAGTGGCTCACTCAAATCTGTACAGCTTAGCTGAAGATGCCAGGAAGAGAAGAAATATGTTACTTATCCTCCTTTTCCTGAAAGGAAGTAATTCTCCTTTCCCTTCCACTTCCATTCGCCACTTTGTCAATCCCTTCAGATAACCCTGTTTTTTGGAAACTGGATTAGTAGACTCTGGCCATCATCCCAGAGAATGGGAATGGCTGCAAATTGCCAGGCCCAGGCTCAAAAGCCCAGGAGAAAGTACAGCTAAACACACAGCTGCAGCTGTGTTCTAATTCTGATCCTAAGGAAAGAAACCCCACAGTGAATTCAAATAAAAATGCTGCAGGTTTTTCCACAAACACATCCTTTCTGACCTTCAGCATACCTACCAATTACACCAAGTGAGGACAGAACCAGAGAAAGCAAGATCTGAGCCTGAGAGAACCAGAAAGCTGCCACCTGCAGAATCAAAGGCTACACTGTCCCTCCCACAAGACACAGAAAGGCTGCTGCCCTGGCTATAGCACACTGCAGGTATTTAGCCTGCATACGGACATCTAGTCTATCCATTCCAGTCAGAATTACCTTGCAGGAGAAGGGATTGTTGGACAAAAACGCAATCAGGAGCTGGATCGCATTTTTAACTACTACCACAGCTTTGTCTTTAAGACGCTCAACAGCCAGCGATACCACAGACTGGAACTGAGTCAGAGGCAGGGCCTAATACAAAATGAGAGCAGAGACAAAGTTATTCAGAAGGCTGAGAGACTCAGAAAAAAGTTATTTTACTGCAGACATCCTAATATACTAAAAGGCACAGATTATAGATTTATATAAGAATGTCTAGGTCAGAAGAGATCTCTGGATATCTTCTGGTCAACCTCTGTTGAAAGGAAGGACTTAAATTATGTTATCTGTTGAGTTGAGTCTTAGCCTACCTAGCAAGGGTGATGTTTTCCCAAAATCAGCTTGTACACTGCTCTTCTTTCTAATCTGTCCCATTAATGAAGAACAGCATTTAATTTGGATTCCGCAGTTCCCTCACCCCTAGGATCTTTGGTCTCTTGAGAAAAAGATACCACAGACACCACACTACACAGGGACAATACCCTTCTCTTAAACTCCAGCCTCTGTAAACGAAGAGCAGGGTGACAGAAATTCCTTAGAAAACACAGCAGGGGAAGGTATGACTAAAGCAGGACCATTTCCTTAGCACAGACTTACCTTGCACTGAACGATTCGAGTGAAGAGCTGCAGCACTCGACTGCGTACAAAGCTGTTGATATCACAGACATGGGCCTGCAGCATGGTCAGGAACTGGTCCCGAGTACCACGGGCAGCTTCCTCCAGCTGGTCACCATTCAGCACCTGCACCAGCACTTCTGCCATAGCTGCCAGAATGGCATTTCGCATCATGTAACTCTGAAAAAAGAAGAGCTGTTGAACCAGGAACAGATGAAAATACATGACTTGATATGTCAAGGGGAAGTATGGCCCAAGAATTTGGGCCTTCTAAGCCCCAGGCCACAGCCTTAAGTGAATTTCTCCGTTGCAGATTTTGGGTGAACATGACTGCCTGCAAGACAGAGTAATCCAACCCTGCTGTCCACCTAGGTCCACAGAAGTCAAGAACTGAGAATCACTTAATGGCTTTTAAGAACAGTTTAAGAAAAAGTAACTCAATGACAAACTCATTAAGGACTGAAAAACAAGAGAGAGCAGCTGGGATCTCCCACAGTAAGCAGTTTCCTGTTCCCTCATATGCAAGAGTGACAACCAGACAGAAGATGTCATGGTTTCTGTTTCTTTGCATCTTTTAGGTAAGGGCATGCTTTGGGTATTTGATCTCTGTGAAAGAGGTTCTGTTTTCAGACAGAAAAACTGGATTGCAGAATCTCCACCAACTGACTTCTCGGGAAGTGGGAACGTACCTCTCCATCCAAGTGACGCAGGAGAACACTCATGTTTGATAGCACCAGAGCTGGAATCTGTTCAGCCAGTTCAGTTATAAAGACAGCATAACCCTTGATCACAGAAGCATCATGAGCCAGATCCTGAGGACATTTCTGTCCCACTTCCCTGCAAAGAAGAACGAAATAAGGAATAGGGTGCCTCAAGTTGCTAGGGATAGAAGGACAAGCCTTGGGGTGTTTTTCTCACCTTAGCAATTCACCCACTAGGCTTTTCAGACCGTACTCTTTAACCCAGAGGCTTACTGCCTGTGCAAACACTGGGGCTACATGCTCAAAGTGCTGCAGCATCTGTGTGATCTTCAGAGTGGCATCTTTTGTACGTGAGAAGGAAGAAAGAAGTCAGGGAAAGCAACTGGGATTATCTTCAGGAAGAAGGCAGAAGAACAGGAACTCACTGAACATGTGATCATAGTGAACCAGAGCTGCAGCAAGCAGATGTGTCACAGCCTCCCGTGTGGCCCGGTACTTCTGAAGACCGATACCTGGATTCTCTAGGATACGGTAGGAGCTTCCTGTCATTAAGCTGAAGTCACAGAAGGGAGACAGCAAAATTCACAATCACAACTTGCACCAACATCATTCTAGCACACTGCATCTTTCTCAAACCAGATATTTTCCAGTATCCTTAAAAAACTGAGGATTAACATCTAAATTTGAGATGCCTACATGAGGAAAGGGAGTGGCTCCTCAACATATTGCTTTTGCCTCAAGACAGTTTCCTCAGTTTCCCAGCGACCTGCACCCTGCAGAGGGCTGTAATACTCAGTGGCAGACTTAACATTTAACTCCCCCTTCCAGAAAACCAGTCACTCACCCTACCTCTATATCCACTCCAGACCATACCTGACAAATTCTTCTTCCACCACGAAACCACCCCAAAGCTGACGGAGATCCAGCTGCAGCAGCTGTGTGAGCAGCCGTAAGACCGGTTCCCTCTCCTCTTCCCATAAGGATCCAGAGGTCTTGGGACGGTTCTTCTTGTTCTAGAAAGGAGATTACACAATGCAATACATCAGCAGCTTGACAACAGAAAAAAACACCACCACCACCCTGCTTCCCTCCAAAAAGAAAATGACGGCTATTCTAAAGCATATGATAAAGCAAATGATGCTTATTCTAAAGCATTAAGAGACACACAGCGAAATGCATGAGAAGTTTATACACCCACATCAAATGACCATTTTCACCACAGAAAGGAAGTCTTGAGAAAATATTGATACACTAACTACCAGCCAGACACTGAAAAGTGAGAAAGAGAGGCCTGGGTATCCGAGTCCCTGCTGGTGTTTGGATACATATTGTCCCTTTAGCTATTTTCCACATACAGTTTTTCACAGAAACACCAGTACTCCGCACTGTTACTGCAAAAGTTGATCAGAGAAACTCCTTAAGGCTTTATGTTTTAGAAAGCAGGCATTCTTTATTGTAGAGCTGGGGTCTCTGGTGGTCGCCGATAATCCTCCTCGCTGTGTTCACTGACCTCAGTGCTTGCATGCCCGCAAGGTCCTAGTCCTGACCTAGTGCTATGTCCTTGCTTTTGTTCTATTCCAGTCTCTGTAATCTTGAAGGCTAGCACCCTTGGTCTTATTTACTACCTCCTTAGTTATCAGTCCCATGATGTTCCTTCCCAGATGAACAATCCTTACACTCCCTTCATGTCAGCAAGTTAGAACAGTTTGCTGTATTTTCCATGTTAGTTTAAAGTCATACACATTATTGTTAGCTTAAACCTATAATTTAAGCCTACGGCATCATGCTCTGATATAACGTTGGATACGTATCAGCAAGCTTACAAGTTTCCTACTTTATGACCTTATTTTCCCCCAAGAACACACCTCCAACAAACCACTCTTGCAGGTTTCCATTTCAAAGGCATCCATCAAGCCAGTCAGCAAGTAGCAGTTCATCTTGAGAGCATTGAGATGAGCCACACGGTCTGCATGGCTCAGCCCAGAATCACCCAAGATGGCAGGAAGTTCATTGGAATGATGGGATACCACTGAAGAAAAGCAGAATGTCATGAGCACTCCTCGCCAGGACCCTCAGCTATCCTCTCTTTCAGAGTTAGCGCAGTCATCAGATTACCAAAGATGTGTGCTCACATCTCACCAGCTGTAATGTGGGCAGTCCCCTACAACCCAAACCTGTTCTTTTTACACTAGCCCATCCTATCCCCATAGCCCCTTGCCAGCTCATGGAAAAACTCGCCCAGAGCTGATGCATCCCAAAGATGTATTTTCCAGGGACGTGGAGAAGGGGAATTTTTGTCGGCCTGCCCTTACAGCGAACAGGCACAGCTCAGCATTGTCCACCAAGATTACAGGCCCGTATTACTGGAATGGGCTGAGGGTGCAACCCAGCTGGTCAAGTCACATTAGCCTTTATATCATCACTGAGCTGCCAAAGGAGAGCAACCTCTCCATCACTCCCACTTCAGCTAGAAACAGCAGATACCCACCGCGCGTCATCAGCTCCAGGGCATCCTCCTTGACAGCAGTCCCCACAGCTTGGAAATGGCTACAGAGCAAGCACAGTGCGTGAGAGCAGCGACTAAACACCACCAGCGAGAGGCGAGACGTGCGCTCCCAGGGGTCCCCTCCTCCCCGCGACCTTCCTCTACTCGCTCCCCTTTCCCCGCTCCGTACTCACTGCAGCAAGCTGTACATGGGATCGAAGTGCTGCAGCACTGCCAGCGCGCCCCGCGCCCGGAAGGCAGTCCGGAAGGCTGCGGGGAAAAACGAGAGGGACGGTCACGGCTATGAACCGGGCTAGGCCGGTAACGGAAGATGGGTACTGGGGACCGCATACCTGTAAGGGCGGGCGGCAGGTCGCGGACGGGCAGCACCTCCTGCACGGTGTACTGCCCAGGGCTGCTCTCTCGCAGCAGATCAGCGGGAACGAGGGGCAAGTGGAACTCCCGGACCGCCCCCATGGCCCCCGATGCAGCCCGCCACCACCTACCCGGGCAGGCCCCAGCACACCAAACAACGCGCGCTGGCCGCCAGCGCCTGGCTCCGCCCCCTTGCCCGGCCTATCAGAGCTCAGCAGGACCAGCGCCTCCCCCAATCAGCGGCTTCCCCGCCCTCTTGGACCGTTAGCGTGACGTCGGTCCCTGTCTTTCTGCTTCCCCTTCCGGCCGCTGCGGTCGATCCGGAAGCGGAAGGACACGGCGGGTCACCGCGATGGCGGCGCTGGTGCGGGCGGCCGGGCGAGCCCTGCTGGGCTGCGCCGCGCCCCTGCTCCGCGCCGAGCGGGGCATTAGCAGCGGCGGCGGGGCGCTGTGCGGGCCAGTGCGGCCTGGCCTCCCCGTGCCGCTGTCTTCGCCCCTGGCAGGCCTCACCCGGCCTATCCGCATCAGGGAACCCCAGAAGCGCCAGCAGGTGGATCGGTGGACGGAAAAACGAGCCTTGTGGTGGGAGATCGGATGTTCATGGAGGACTACCACAAACTCAACAAGAGGATCCGGTACTTGTACAAGCGTTTCAATCGCACTGGGAAGCACCGTTAGGACTGACTGGGGGTTTGATATATGCAGCATGGTTTTGTGCTGTCGCGGTCAGAATAAAAACAGCTTTCACACAGTTGGGTTTCTGGTGTTTTCTGCAACCTTTACTCTGCATTTCTGGCCTGGTACCAAGGTCCTGCTTCTGCTTCAGGCCTGAGCTCCTCTGTGCAAGTTCTGGCCCCTCAATCATTTCCCTACATATTTCTCACAAATACCTATTCCAGCCTGCATCCTTGAACTTGACCTGAGTGTCCTCTAGTTCTTGGCCGTGCTTCTCACACGCTTTCAGTCTCTGATTCAGGTTCTGATGTCCTACTTGACAATTTCAGTATGCTCCAGCTTAGATCTTTTTCCTCATAACCGAATTTTCAAGTTAGAACTAAGAGTGACTGCTAACATCTTCCTGCTTGCCCCCTCCCTCTGCATTTATGTGTAATTAAGTGTCAATGATCCAAATATTAGTTGAAATGCACCAAAACCTGGTTTAAGAACAGGTTTGTCTTTCACACTGGTGATGACTTAACCCCATGCTAATAATGCTTACTGACCAAGTGGCGTTTTGTTTCTAATCTAGTTAGGATTTGCAAAAGAAACTCAGGCACTTAACTGTTTTAAAAAACTCTGGCTTCTAGTTTTCCATAACTGTTACTGGTTCCCTTAGAAGAGAAGTTACGGTGAGTCAAAGCTGGCATCCTGCCAGTCCAGCATCACAAAGACTGTTACACACTTCAGAAACATCAGAATGATGTGCAGGTGTTTGCCTCTCTTCTCCAGGAGTAGTTAATTTGGCTGCTAGGTAATTGCAGAGTTTACCTGCTGAGATGTATCTTGTTATTGAGCGATGCTACTCGGTCTTCCAAAGCGCTTGGTTGGAAGAAGCAGGGAATGAAAGGAATTTTAAGTCTTAATCCTTAGGGAGGTTGTAGCCAAAGTCTCTGTTGAAGCACCTGAAGTCCATGTTCTCAGGAGCAGGGTGGCAGACCTGTGGATTCGGGAAATGCATGTGTGTTCAAGCGGAGATGGAGCGAGCACCTGGAAGAGAGCTCGTGGGGGTTATCACATACACAAACCTTGGGTGTAGCAAATCTTTGCCTGAAAGTATGTCAGAAACTGGGAAAGTGTCTGAGAAAGGTACCTGGTATCCTTTGTCACCTCTTGGTCCTTAAGCACCAACTTGGCAAGGGCTCTGTGGGCCAGTAGATCCACAAGCTCTATCTTGTTATTAGCAATGGTTATTGGAACCGTTCTCAGACTGCGGCAAGAAGGTCGCCAAGCTACAGAAATTTCTTGTGTGACTTGTCCCTTGGCAGCTTGGCTGAAGGCACAGCTTAAAAACCTGCAGTTCTGCTGAGGCTAGTGCTAGGCTGCTCCTTAACCCTTAACAGTCCTACCTGCAAACCATCTGCTCGTCTCAACCTTGTATTAAGTCTTTGCCTTCCTTGAAGCCATGGTCTTTTGGTTCCCAGGCTGTAATTAGTAACATAGTCATTTGTATCTACTGATCTATTAGATCTGATGTAAAAAAAAGCAAACAACGTTTTATTAATGGTCTGTATCACCTTATGAACTACCTGAAAGGAGCAAGGATGTGGCTGGTCTCTTCTCCTAAGTAATATGTGATAGGACAAGAGGAAATGGCCTCAAGCTGTGCCAAGGCGGGGGTTAGATGGAGATTAGGGAAAATTCCTTCCCCAAAGGGTACTCAGGCATTGGAACAGGCTGCCCAGGGCAGTGATGGAGTCATCATGCATGGAAGTGTTCATACACCGTGTAGATGAGGGCCGCAGTGACATGTGTTAGTGGTGGCCTTGGCAGTGCTGGGGAGCGGTTGGACTGGATGAGCTTAATGGTCTTTTCCAACCTGGTTGATTCTATGAAGTGAAAAGGCAGCTCAGCATAGGTGCAAACCTCTACCTGTCACCCTACTCACCACACCAAGTGCTGCATGGAGACTTCCTGTGCCAGTACTCTCCTGCCTCCTTTTCTGTCCTGAACAGATGCATCCTCCCTTCTGATCCAGCAGGCTGCTTCTCAACATCTTTTGAGGGCAACACCTAACTGTCCTTGGGGCTGCTGCTGGAGCCTGGCTACCCCAGCGGGCAGCAGAGGCTCTAAGACGCCTACTGTGGGGACTTCTTGGGTCTTCCTCTTACCCCCTGCTCCATGGCAGGAGCGGGCCAGTGGCTTAAACAGAGCCAACACACACACTATGGACCTGTAACGGCACGGGCTCGCAGGTGAAACCGGATGGGGCAGGTGACCATGCTCAGGCCCTGCGTCACCTAAAAGGGAGCCCTCACTCAGAGCTACCGGGACCGCTGGCGATGCGGGACGCACCGCGCACCGCCCCAGCGCCGCTACTCACCGGCCCGGCCGCTGCCCGTGGGGGCGGGCTCTGCTCCTATTGGGTGTCCCAAGGCTCAGTCACAGCTGCTAGTCCTCTCAAACGCCCGGAGCGGGGGAGAGGGCGGGGCTCGGCTCAATCACCGTCTTCGCAGGGCACCTCGCTCTGCCAGGGTCGCGGAGCGCTGATTGGCTGCGGCGTAACCAGAAGGCTGTGCTGATTTGCTGCCTGCGGCCACTCCTTCCCGCTGCCACTTCTGATTGGCTGTTTGCTCTTAGGGGCGGGGCCTCGTCTACTATAAGTCTTTTCCGTGTCGGGAGCGCCGTTGCGGAGTTGGTTGCGGAGTGCTCGGGGGTGCTGGTCCGGTTCGGAGATGTGAGTGTCTGGCTGCGGCGGGCGGAGAAGAGGAGGGAGGGAGGGAGGGATGAGGGCGGGGGATAATGACGGGCGGGCCGGCTGCTGGATGCAGAGCCCCTGTCCCGGCCACTGGCGGTGGAGCCGAGTGGCGCATTGCAGCAGCTGCCTCCTTCACCTCCTTCCCCCGGGCTCCTGCTCCCCCGGCCCTCCCCTTGCTCTGGGCTCTCCCCTGCTCCCGGTTCGGGGGGCTTCAGGCAGGTTGCGGACCCTTGGGGCTGCTGCTGGTGCCGGGCAGCGGGGTTCAGATGGGTTTGGGGAGTAGGGTGCTCTCTCTTAAGCGTCTCATTAGGTTTTCTCTTAGCCCATATGTATTTCCCTAGGTCTGACCCAGCTCAGCAACCTGCTCCCGGGGCCCCCGAAGGGGGAGCTCCTGGTGGGGCCCCCGCTGGGGCACCCCCCAATCAGAGCAGTAACCGTCGACTGCAGCAGACGCAAGCCCAGGTGAAGGAGGTCAGTAGCTCTGCCAGCCGTGTGCTGGCTTCCCATCAACTGCCTGGACTCTGCTACTGCTGTGCAGTAGTGATGCTCTTGACAGGCGCCTGCTGCTGAGGGGGTGGATGCTCTTGTTATGCCAGTGCCAGAAACGCAGTAATAATGTTATCGTGGTGGCAGACCTATAAAGAGGCTGGAGGAGAGATTGCTTTATGTTTAAAAGCAGCTTTATCCCAGCTATGACTTCTAAGGAGCAGACCTGTTAGATTTTTTTTGGTATCTCCTGTAGCGCATCCAGAAGAGGTCTCGATCCCTGCCCTTTTGCTTCAAGCAAACAGTCTGAATTGTGTTGACGTGCCGGGACCCTTGCCTGAGTTTCCAGGGTCGGTGTCTGTAGCGTGGCTGCTGGCCTGCAGTAACGCCTTTATGCCTCACTGGGGCAGCCGCATGTAGCTGTAAATCATTGCAATAACCAGAGAGTAAGCATACGGTTATTCTCATGACGGGGGTGGCTGAGGTTTGCTGCGTTTGAGAGCTTTAAAAACAGGTGAGAATGCGGGGCTGAAGACCTCGTTTAAGTGTACTTGAACTGATACTTTAACGGGGGTGCGTGTGTGTGTGTGTGTGTGCAGAGGGAGGCCAATTTTTCCTCTCTTCAGAGCAGGCAGTGGCTTGAAAGCCATGTTTTATCCTGGCCTTTTTTCCCATGTTTAGAGCTTTTGCTTATTAGCATCTCCATGTTAGATTCCTGTCTCTTATTGTTTTCAACTCTCTTTACCAGTACAACTGCTCCTACTGTTCTTCCTTCTGCAGGTTGTTGATATAATGTGTGTAAATGTAGACAAGGTGCTGGAACGAGATGAGAAACTGTCAGAGCTAGATGACCGGGCAGATGCACTTCAGGCTGGTGCCTCACAATTTGAAAGTAGTGCAGCAAAACTCAAAAGGAAGTACTGGTGGAAGAACTGCAAGGTGAGCTTCCCATTGCCATGATCTCCTTCATCAGAAGAACATTGGGCTAGTCTTCATTGAGAGGATAGTTGGGGTGTAATAATTTCAAATGGTTAGGATTTTTTCAGTGTGGAAAGACTTTGAGGTCTTGGCTGTCCTACCTTCAAGGTCTGGCTTATGGTCCTTGGCTGTCTGAGAAGATGTGAACTTGTCAGTCTGGTCTGAGTATTACTCTTTAACAATCTCTCTCTCCAGATGATGATCATGATGGGAGTGATTGGTGCCATTGTGGTGGTGGTGATTGCAAGTAAGTACTGAAAAGCTCAGGATCAAAAGTGAAGAAGCACCAACTCTACAGTACCTTAAACTCTTTCTTTTAGATTTGAAATCTGGAGGGTCTTGGTTGTATAAGTATTAACTTCAGTCCTTGGGGAAGGGAGGTGGTGGTGCTGGAACTCCTGCACTTACACTAGAAACTGTATACTTCTACATAGTAACAGAAGGACCTGGGGGTGGCCATCATTGTAGAAGTGGGAAATTCTGTCTGCCAGGTCAGGTGAACCTGTAAGTATGAGGGGTTACGCTGGAGTGGGTGGGTTGGCAAGTTCCTTCCCTGGTGGGGAATTTGGAGCTCTTTGAGGGACCTTTGGTATAACTTGCCCTCTTGTTCTTTCCTTTTTCTTTCTGTATTGGTTTGTCTCCAGTCTACTTTTTTACTTGAATGCACCTCCTTCAGTCTGCAACCTACTGTCCTGTCACCTTGCCTGTCTCTTCTTATCCCTGAACCTTTCCTTCCCTTCCACCTAGCTTCTTCATTGATTTCTTTATTGGTTTTAATTAGTCTTCTCTATATGACTCTGAAGCACTCTACTGAACATGGTTAGCCTTAAACAGCTGCTGCAGCTTTAGAGTTTAGAGGAAAGAGAAGTAAAGGAGGAGCAGGTAGCTATTGCTCCTGCTCTTCTGTAGGGAATTTCTTTGGTTTATTTTTGGCTGTTTGTCAACTAGTGCCTGTGTGGATTCTAGCAAAATAAGAATGCCTTAATGCAGTGCCTTTAGGGATGAAGGACTTCAGCATGTGAGATTCTTTAGTGTTCTGCCTAAAAAGAGTGGCAGCATGACTTAAGCTTTTCATCAAGCTTCTGAAATAAAGGCTAGTTTGCATTGGCCAGTACTGAGCCATCTGACCAGGCTCTACAGTGATCTAGATTTCTCTAGTCATGGACAGATGAGCATGAGAGATTCTGCCTGTCCTTATTTTCAGATGACTCGCTGTCTGAATATGGCCATTTCAGTTATGATAAAGGAGAGCCTACATGATTACCTCAGTCAAGTGCAACTGACCGCACACAGTGAAGTAAGGAGAGGTTTTTTTTACTATCTAGAAGGCAGGTATGGGAGTAAAATCTCCTGCCAGAAGGAACAAAAGAACAATGGTAAGGAGTCTAGTGCAGGGTGGAAAATATTCCTCTTATCTATGCAGACACAACCCAGGATGCTGTGGCTTTCTACTAGCTTGTAGCTTTCTGGGAGACTTTGGGGTAGTGGCAGAATAGGAATGGGTATTCTGCTGTTGTTACTGGTTGAATGTCAAAGGAAATCCACTCTGTAGCAGATGGGGCTGAAAGAGCCTGGAGGTATTCCAGATGACCCTGAATGAGCCACACAGCATTCTGATTAAGAATACCTGTTCCATTTCTGCTGCCACAAAGCCCTAACTTCCAGCAGGAGTTAGAAAATCCTTGGAATGGTTAGCTAGGGATTTGGAGGGAAATGCTGCTCTGGGCATAGATATTGCAAAGTGACAATGGATGTCCCATTTTATAGGCTTAGATCTCTATAGAGATCTTGACTATCAAACTGAAATCCTCCTACTTCCTATGGGCTCTCTTTAATTTACATCCAGGGTGGTCTCTGCTGGAAATAAACTTGCAGCATGGAATGCTGTGGCTTTCTGTAAGCAAGCCCCTTGTTCTCCTCCATCACAATTAACAAGAGTTGTGAATTGCTTGAATGTGCCCTGTTCCTCAGTTTCTGCAGTCTTCTGAGGAACGTGCATCTTTTCTTTACAAGCTGAGCTGCAGCTTATAATTAGACTGGAAAGAGGGCACCTCTTTAATTTAGGAAGTTCTACTTTGGGTGTGTCTAGGCTTAAGGGAATGTGAGAGGAGAATAAGAGGAGAATATCAATGGAGTTCCCAGATAGGAGTGAAGTGCAAAAGATGGGAGGAGCAGATGCTTTTTGTTTCATTGGGTGTGCCAGGGAGGCCACTTTCCTCCTCACTGGGCATCTGGGAAGGGGCGAGGTTTTGCATGCTTACTTCCATGCCCCAGCATTTCATTTGCATCGAGTTCATCTCCCTGCAATTCCATCCCTCTCCACTTTGAGTGAGGGCAGAGATGAAGATGTGGAGTGAAGCAGCCCTTGTCCCCTGAGCACTTCCCTAATTCCCTGTGGAACTGAGATGTGATGGATGGTCAGAAGTGCGTCTACTGAAGAGGAGCCAGGGCCTGCTTGCGCTGCTTACTGCTATCATTTTAGGGGGTGGGCATACAAGCTTGAGGACCCCAGATGAAAAAATTTTCTTGAACTCTTCTAAACAAGCCTTTGGTGCCTCATACCTCCTGTTCCTCTGGGGGGGCTGAGGTCCCCATAGGCTGTCTCTTCCGTTTCTTTCTCTTAGATGTTGTATGTTGCCTTCTCTTCTGCTCCCTTTCCTTTCCTTTGTGTCTTTGTGCATGGGGGTAAAAAGATCACCAAGGCCCTCTGAGTAAAAACAAGGGACTCTGCTGTCTGTAGCACTACAGCCACTCATGCACGTGCAGTTTTATTTCCTTCCTCTAGAAAAACAACTGTGATTTCCTCTGGCATGTTGTAGTTATCAGCTCATGTACTTTAAATGGTCTCTAAAAAACACAGTTCACCACCTTATTGAGTCTGTCTGGTCTGTCATTGGGTGGAATGGGTTTGGATGCCAAACTGGTTTTGGGACATTTTTTTTCTGTCTGTCGCTTCTACACATACACCTGAACTTCTGTCCCTCAAAGCAGTGGCTGGGTTTCTATTGCAATGATGGTAGCTGCACTTGTACTGGAACCTCATACTGGACTGACTCTATGTTAAGTCTGTAACAAGATGTATGAACCAGTAGCTCTGCAGGAAGAGGTTGCCCAAGCCAGCTCTGCTTCCAGCTGCCAAATGTCCAGCCAACATGGGATGCATGGGGAGGTAGTTCCCTGAATGGGAGGGTGTGTTACTGGTAGCTCTAGGCTTCTTCAGTGTATGTTGCCTTGGGTTTCAGTAACCTATTGTCAGATACTTAAACACAGAAAACAGTTGTATGTTGATATTGGGGTATAAGATCATCTAGTTCCAAGACCTCCAAGAGTAGGGTGCTGTTTACAGCCTATCTTGGAACATGGCTGGACTAAAGGCAAGTGCCTTGTTTTGCTTCACTGTACACTTGAAACTCATTAAAAAGAAATGCCCATTGGAAATGCACTTTGTCCAGTGCAGGCTTATTTTAAAATGAAGTATTTATGCTCTTATCTGCCCCTGTGGCTTGTGCTCTCCTTATGATCAATCATTTTCTAGTCTTAAACATCACCAAAATTATACCAGAAAATGTATGGTCAATTTGAACCATAATATGGTGAATTTGGAGCAGTGCAGATAGGCTGTTTCTTTCAAGACAAAAGCCTTGCTGGGAAAGGAGGGTGTCTGGGTTGGCTGGTGGATCAAAGCACCATGTACAGCCTAAACTACATCACAGGTACAGCCTGCACAACCTGAATGAACTAGTCATGCTACAATTCCTGCCAAGTTGTGTGTTGTCTTCCTGTTACTTCTCAGCCTTATTCATGTAAGGAGGCAGGAAAAGTTCTTCCTTGGAACAGATGTGCGTCCAGACTGATTACAGTGTCTCTGAGTCCTTAGCCAAACGTATGGACTTGAGTGCTTTGCTTGCTAAAGCTGGCAAGCTGATGTGGAGCACAAAGCTGGGGCTGAACATGCTGTGGAAAGTTGCCCCAGGGCAGCGCCCAACTCAAGAGTCATGTTGTGTGTGTTTGCAAAGAGTTGTATGTCTAACCATAAATCCTCACGTGGGCATCTGAAGTACCATGGTCTGCTGGGAGCTCACCTCCTGAGGTGCCATCCTGTAAAGTATCAGCACTGCTGCTGTTCCTGCAGTCTTACCCTGAACAAAGCACGACTGTAAAGGTCCACTAAAAGCAAGGCCAAGGCTTTGGTGGAGTAATTCTTTATGTGTCGAATTAGAAATTCAAGCTCTGTCTTTAAACACATAGCTCCTGTTTCAGCACCTTCAGATTTAGCGGGGGAAATGTCTCAACTATGCTGTTCCTAAATGTCTTAAACCTTCACGTTTTCTAGATGCTGTAGGCCTTGCTCTGGCCTTTTCTGAGGTTCCGATGCACTGGTCAAAGTAGGATGCATTCTTTCATCAGTGGGGGAGTTTTGTTTTCCTTGTGTCAGCTGTAAAGTAACTCGATGGTGGGAAAGACCAAAGACTTCAGAGTAGAAATGTAGCAACACTTGTTTAATGGACCTGGCTTCCTTGTGAAGTGACAGAGGTCCCTGCTCTGATGTAGCCACTGGGGTTAAAAGTCTTAACTTGGAGAAGCAATAATGGGGATGTACAGAGGTTTTATCTTTTGTTCTGATCTCTCAGAGTAATTATTTACTTAGAGATATAACAGATAAGGATATAGGTTTTACAAAATAGGCAGCTCAGCTGTGTCTGGATACATTTCAGCCCAGTGTTTCTCCTAGGTATCCTACAGTGCTTCCTCTTAGAAGCAGTTGAGTTCCTCCGCAAAACTTCCCCTGTTTACAGGCCAAAATAAAGTTGCATTTCAGCCTCCATGCTCCTGATAATCTTTTGACTTGTTTTGCCAGAGACTGAGTCTTTCAGAACGTACTTATTTGTGCCTTGGGTTCCCAATATGAACAGCCGAATAACATTCTTTCCTTTGTTGCAGACCCATTAAATGGTTCTTGCTGAGGCTGAAAGGACCTTTTCATGTTCTCTCCTGCCAGGCTTTTCCAAGAGTCCTTGTACTCTTCTTAAGTAACTGTACTCTTTTGCCATAATCTCCAGTTACTAAGCTTTTTTTAGTTCACTGCCTTTAAGCATGTAATCAGAAGCTGAAGGCTCTTTCTTCTCTCATGTTTACAAGACCCCTTTAAATATTGCACATTGGCAAGTATAAAGAACTGCAAGACTGAACATAGCCATTCTGCTTGTGTGTTCCTGAACTCCGTACTTCTGCTCTGTCCTTTCACCAACAGCATTGCTACCCTCTTCATTTCTTAATGTAGCACATCTCCACCCCTTGGATTTTCTTGAACCTGTCCCAAAGGCCTGGTAACCCTTTACTCAAATTCCTTCTGGGATTGACCTCAGCCTGTGCAGACAAACCTTGCACTTATCTGTACAGCTTATCTAAGCACTCCAGCGAGCAGAGTTTGCTTGTTAGTTCTTCTAAATGTGTTGCTTATAGAACCATAGATTTGTTAGGGTTGGAAAGAACCTTACGATCATCTAGCTCAAAGCCCCCTTTGATGGGCAGGGACACCTTCCGCTAGACCATGGTGTGAAAGGCTCTGTCCAACTTGGCCTTGAACACTGCCAGGGACAGAGCATTCACCACTTCTTTGGGCAACCTGTTCCAGTGCCTCACCACCCTTACAGTAAAGAACTTCTGCCTTATATCTAACCTGAACTTTCCCTGTTTCAGTTTAAACCCATTACCCCTTGTTCTATCACTACAGTCTCTGATGAAGAATCCTTTCCTGGCATCCTTGTAGGCCCTCTTCAGATACTGGAAGCTGTTCTGAGCTCTTCATACAGGAGGTGTTCCACGTATTTCTTCTGTTACCTTAATTCTTATAGGAAAAGAAATATAGTTTGGGTATCTATCAAACTGTGACTGTCACACTGTGAAGGAGCAAGTTTTCAGCACATAGCAGGGGATGACTGCCCATCCTTGCATTCCCTGCCTTCTCAAGCATCCTGTGCTTAGTTTCCCTTAGTTTTCCCCCTTCCTGGAAGGGCTGACCCATTCTTTCCTTTCTTCCAGTACTTTCAGTTCCCCCAGTCTCCCTGTACTTTAGATTTTCTTAGAGTTTCTCAGATGCTCCAAATCCATCTGAATTGGAGCCCTCAATCTTCAATGTCCCTAGATTTCCCAGACTGTATCCCTTTTTTCTGCTATCACATGACTTCCAAATGCTCTTAACCCTTAATCAACTTGCAAATGCCTGCCACCACTGCAATCCCACAGACACTGGGGCTTTTATACCCTGTCTCCATGGGTTCTTCCATATCTTGGCAGAGCTCCCTTCTCCTTCCTTGTATTTCAACACTACCAAACGCTTCCACAAATCCTCCTTATTGTGTTTAAGCTCCTAAACACTCATCCCTCTTCTTCTGTGGTTTCCCCATCATGTGAACCTTCTTTTTCTCCTCATCATTCTTTCTCTTAAGATTGAGGAGCTACTCACTTCTGTGCTGCTTACTCCTGCAGAACAAACCACTCTAATATTCCAACTTATCCACAAAATTAGTTTTCTCCTGCACTTCCCTTCTCCCTTCAAGTACTTGTATCCTTACTTCTCTGCCTTCCCCCAGCACGACAGAACCTCTCAGTACAAAAAGAAGCAGCTTGCTTTTCTTCAGTGTCCTACAACCTACAGTTACTCCTTGCCTGTTTTCCATGTCCTCCAGATAACTGTGCTATGCCTCTAACATACCTACAACTCCTAAGCATTTACATCATTCAACTTTATCCTCTAGTAAAAATTCACCCCACCTCAGACCATTAGTTTGTATTTTTGCTGAGTTACAAATCCCTCTAAACACCTACTTTTCCCCATTTTCCTCTAATATTTGACATTCTCAATGGAAAAACTCCATTTTCTGCACTCTCTTGTTGGCACTGCTGGACTTTCCTGTTGTTTTCAGCCATGTTGAGCTGATTCATTTGTGGTCTACAAATGGATCAGGTACATAAATACACCTACATAAATACAGGGATCCTCTGGGGAGGATCACCTGCTTTCTCACAAGATGGCAATTTTTGCACTGACCCTCAGGACAGGGAGAGCTAGTCTATTTACCAACTTGTCATACAGCTTCTTGTTTGTACAGGCTGGATTTAGAGCTACCCAGAATGGGGCCGTTACTTTGAGTTCATCAGTCAAAGCTCCTGGTTTGCATTTTGACACGTTTCCAGAAGAGAGAGAGAACATGGTGCAAACTTTCCCTAGGGAATGCATCACCTTCTTCTACAGCTATATTTCTGGATGCTGTTGAAGAGAACATAATGTGTCAAGTAGTTATGCCTCTGATTAATCTTCCTTTACAATTACCCACTTGACTAGGCGTGATGCAGTGGGTCATATCAATTTTATGGTTATTACAAACTACTGTGTGATGTGAAGAATCATGTCTTGCTCTTTGGATATTGAGGAAAGCTCATGCTCACTATGTGAATCATCATACATTTATGGTATGCAAAGACCATTTGAGAGGTTCCACCTGTTCTTTCTCCTGTCTTGAGTTGGAGGTGGTTTTGTGAAGCAAACAGCTTCAGTGTCAGGTTTTTGTTCATTCATGTGCTAGAAACTACCCAAGGTGGCAGTCTGTAGTACTTGAATTCAGGACCAGGCTCTGGATGCAACATCCGAACTCCTCTGTTTGCCTTATTTTAATTGTGACCAAAGTTGGTTTTGCTTTAGCCACTAACCCTAGCTTTTAACTCTGCTCCTTGGGCAGCGTTTTTACGGAACATGAAAGTCCCTTTGTTAAGTCAAGATTGAGATTTCATTCTTTCATTACTCACTCTCTTCTACATCCCTTAAAATCACCCATAAACACACAAAGTGGATTTTTTCATCAAGTTTGTACA